GAAAGTTAAGTTGGCCTTGGTCCGCTCTTTTAAATTAAAGCCAAGTGCATGCCAATGAGGTTATGTACTTGGTTATGGACAAAACGAAAATCAGGGATTTAACAACCTACATTTAACTTGAAACTGAACTTGGCGACTTCTACTTTCCGTCACTGCAGCTCTCACTAAAATGGAATTCTTGAGAGATGTTTTTCCATAGATCATATCTGAAGATTTTCTAGAAACCAAAGTTGAGAAACTCATCGGAACAGCTGACATGAACCTGAAGTTTCTCAAAGCCAATCAAGCAGATTTTTCGGCATCCCCTAATCTATAAATACCACTTGATTAAATTCACTTTTCAATATCCCTCTTAATTCCGGAGTGTAGTTTTTAATGCGCCTTTATTTCTCTGAGAAAAAAAAAAAAACATGGAAATGAAAAGCTGGAATCTAAAAATAAAATCCACACTTAATACACAAGCTAAATATACCCCAGCTTTTCTCTTTGCCACATTAATTCAATGAAATCTAATTTAGGGTAGCACCACGGTTCTGAATAAAGATGAATAAGTATTACCAGTTCACATTGTGTTTCAGCTTCTTTAAGACTTATCAGAAGAAATGTTAATTGCTTAAGTCCTTACATAAGATCGTGTGCTCTTTAAAGTTTTCTGGAAGAGAGATTAAGTGAAGGGTGGCAAATAACGGCGTTTATTTTTAGCTTCCTCCTATTCTCTTCCTGTACCCCCGAAGTATTTGTCCTGACTTCATCCCATTCTGTAAGTTCAGTTAACTTTCCGAAACCCGAATGCTATTGTGTTGCTAACCACATCGCCTCCTCTCCACCTCGAGTGCCTTCCGTGTCCCTTGTTGCTTAAGGGTGCGGGGGGAGGTCCCGGCTGGCGAGCCCTCGTTCTGCGGGATGTTCGGAAGGCACCCCCAGAGTGTACCGTGCTCGAGTAAGTTTGGGAAATGACGACGCCAATAAAGTCAAACACGTCCCTTCACTGTGGACTCGTTTCCTCGGTGTAAACTGTCACTCGCTGAGGCCAGCAGAGCTTTCGTACCTTTTGGCACTTACCCGCGCAACATTTTTGAAGCGTCTCTCCTTAGTGAGATTGCGCCGTGGGAAAAAAGACGCGACCCCAGGGTCTGCACCGTGTCTGCCCTGCGACCCTTTACCCACCTTTGCGTCTCCGTGTCCCTTACGTTGTGCAGACGCCTCACTGCCACGCGGAGCCCGCGCCCTGTGTTCGACGCCTCGCGACCTCCGTCCTGCCGGCCCTCGCCCTGCTTTCTCTCCCTCTCTCTTTCCTCCTCTGGAAATCTTCATTTTGTTCCAGATCAAGACTGAATGCTATGTATTTTGTTACTGTTTTTTCCGCCACAAGAAAAATAACCCGCACTTTGCTTCCGCGTCCGTCGAAGCGCTCCCTGTGGTCCGCACCTCCCCGCAGGACAGGGGCGTCTTTGGGGCCAGTGGCCCCATCTTCCTTTACCTTTACGGCCTCCGTCCGTTAGCACACTGCGGGGCACGTTACAGGCCGTCATGGTGGCCGAACAGAATTGAGCCCAATCACCACAGAACCACATGTCCACCCACGTCGTTCTGCTCAGAAACCTGTGGTGATTTCCACTGTCACTCAAGACGGAAGCTGAGGGCCTTACGGGGTCCACGAGGCCCTACACGGCCACCTACGAGGCACCTTGCTGACTCGGTCTCCACGTGCCAGGTCCTGCGTTTGGTTCCGGACCCACCTCACCTGAACAGCAGCCTGGCTGGACCCCCCGCTTTCTCCAGGGCTTTGCTCCCACATCACCCACTTGCTCAGACTTGGCCTGAGTTCATCACTTAAAACCCCGCTGTCTCCCACCTTCCCAGCTCCCCTCCCACCTGCTCTGTCCACCGTTCCTTTCCCTGTCATGACCTTGTGACACACTATGTCATTAAACATCTGTCACGTTGTTGTCTTGCCTCCCCTGGTCAGACGTCGGCTTGGGCAGGGATATGTATCCGATGGCTTTGTCGCTGTGTCCCAGGCCCCTCTAGCAGGTCCTGGCCTCCAGCAGGCACCCCAGGGACGCGTGTTAAAAGGACCGAATGCGTGAACCTGGTTTTCATCCGTGTTCCTGGTGCAGCAAATTAGCGCTGCTCACAGTACGTTCACGCAGAACTCAGTCAGAGCTGGGTAGCTTTTGTGAGCTTTTAGTGATGAAAACTGCCCTCCGCACTTGGGCTCACCCAGGACAGTGAAACGCTGCATCAATTAAAACGTTCCAAGGACCCGTAGTCAGGACGGCGATGTTATCCGCACGGCCCACCCGGCTGGCTGAGGCTTCATAGCCACACCTCTCGCTCTAGGCACCGTGTGTCAATTTCATATGATAGTTTTGTTCCCCGCTTATGAATTTTGATAAGATAATGACACACGTGTTCGGGAAAGGAAAACAGAGCATTAAAGAAAGCGGGTCTCCATTTTAAAGAGCCGTGGTTCTGCTCCTCGGGCCAACGCCGTGTGGCTTTCGTCACCTCACGGTCTGTTTAAGAACCACTTTCCACGGCCAGTCCCCTCCATCCGGACACCGAGATGGGTTTGGGACCCTGGCAGAGGTGAGATGTCACTCCTGCCCGCAGAGAACTTTTCATCTCCACTGACAACGTTTCGATTCTGGTCTCAGATCATTCACTTCTCTCATTCAGCTTGATTGAGATACAACTGAGTCCACGCGCACCACGCGTCGACCTGCTACACTTACATGCTGCGAAATCATCGCTGCTGTGGCCTGAGCTGACACCTCCGTCACGTCTGTGGTCACCACGTCTTTTCTGTGGTGAGAACATTTAGGACCTACTCTCCGAGCAACTTGCCGGCTGTGATACAGTGTCGTTACTCGTCACCACCACGTGTCCATGTGTCTATCGGGTGACCAGCCGGGAGTTTATTCCCTCTGACCACTGCCTCCACAGGCCCCCCACCGCCCAGCCCCGGCAGCTGCCACTGTCCTCTGTTTAAATTCCACTTATAAATGATGCTATAGAGTATTTGTCTTTCTCTGTCTGACTTATTTCACTTAGCGTAATGCCATCAAGTTCCATCCATGTTGTCGCAAATGTCAACGTGTCTTTCCTTCTAATGATTGAATAATATTCCATTATGTACATTCATACGTATATATACACATATGTATGTGTGTGTTCTTTACTCATTTATCTGTTGACAAACACTTAGGAGATGATAATAGGATCCCAGAGAGACACATGCAGCCTTATGTTCACTGCAGCATTATTCATACTAGCCAGATAGGGAAACAAATCATTTACTTATTAGAGGTTTAACTTTGAACGCATCTCTTAACTCTTCTGAATTTCAGTGTCTTCTGTACAGTGCAGTCGATACTTAATGCCATCCCTGATGACTTCAGAGACATTTTGATGGTCAGATAAGTTATAATGAGTAAAAATCTGGGGTTTTTTTTTACTTGTTAAAAATAAGTGCTATACAAATGCGCAGAGACAGTCAGTAGGATGGCAGTTGTCAGAGGCCAGGGGCTTGGGGAGTTGGTGTTCAGTGGGGACAGAGTTTCATTTTACAGGATGGATACAGTGATGGAGGTGGATGGTGGGGACGGCTATGCCACGTTATCAAAGTATTTGCCACTGTGACACTGTGTACTGTAAAATAAGGAGGGGCATTTCGTGTTATATCTATTTTACCACAAAAAAATGGGGCAAAATACGCACACCCAAGGAGTCCACGGTGAAGGAGTGTGTTTATTGGGACATACGAGTTCGGATGCCTTAGGACGTTAAGACCATCGAAATTCAAGAAAGTTCAACAAAAATAAAGCGGTTTAATTTTTTTAAGTAGAAATAGGACACATGCCATCATTGGTCTAGTTGCTGTTACTGCTGTCATTGCTATATATCTGATAGTTTTATTGTTGATGTTATTGCTAAATCATCATCATCATCATCGTCGTCATCGTCATTATCGTTGTCTTCATAATCATAAGTTTACCTAGAGCATGGCCTGAGGAAATAAAGCTTCTAGCCTCACCGACATCTCAACCCTGCATAAGAAACCAAATGTGACATTTATCGAGGACTTATCTAGCTTCCAGCCTGGAGCTAGATACACAGGGATGATCTCTGAAGTTTATCCGTAACCCCAGAATCGGGGCTCTCAGCATCTTTGTGGTTGTTCACGGACAGCGCAAACCAGTGAAAAGGCTGTCACCCCACAAGCTCCCCCCTGCTGAGGTGGAAAAAGGCCTTTCCGTCTCTGCTCTCACACTGTAAACAAGTGTCCCTTTTGCAGTCTACTTAGTGCCTGCTTTTTACATCTTTGTGTGCTTTGCGATTTTGCTGTTTACGGCGGCCCAGAGTGTGACACTGGAGTGTGTGTCTGTAAGTGTGACTGGAGTGTGTGTCTGTAAGCGCCAGGAGCCTGTGCCGTGCCTGATGGAGAAAACGCGTGTGTGGCATAAGATGCGTTTGGGCGTGAGTTAGTGCATCTCCATTATGTATTAAATAAGGCGCGTTTCAACAGAAGCACACCTCACACAAGGTTATGGGCTGAGCGGCTGATGAAAATGTCATGAGCAGAGCCAGCCCCTCAGGAACCTGTCCCCGCTTTTCCCCAGGAAGACAGTTCAAGTGTTGATTCAGTGTTGGCAGCAACCACACAGAACGTCAGCACCGCCCCCGACGAGAGTGGACCGGTGACGCCCAGCATCGTTCCCAGCAGGAAAGCCGTGAGGGAGCGGCAGACCCTGGAGGGGAGAATGACCTCAGGAGTGACACTGTGAAGAGGGAAAGGTGGCGGCCCGTGCTCCGAAGCGCAGGCCACGGCTGCAGCTGGCTAGGAGCTTGTCCGCGTGCGAAGCAGAGCACAGTCTCAGGGCTGGCATCACGCCGGTCCCGATGCCTCGCCCGGTCTGAACGTCAGCCTGCAGCAGAGGACGCGGGGCCGAGGCGGGGGTGGACAGGGACCGGGTCACGGTGCTGACGCACATCAGAACCAGGTCCAGGTGTCTCATCCGCATCCGCCTGGGGCCGTGGTCTGGGGCCGTCGTCTGAGCCTGTGGACCGTGGATTGGATGCGTCGCCCCAGCCGAACGCTCCTCCCGGCGATGCCCATAGTGCTGTCCGGCCCCGCGGCATGGGTGACGCCTGTGCTCCGTGCAGTGGCTCGTGCGACCCAGATCACATGCGCGGTGAGGTCAGGAGCCACGCTTGCTTGACCTCCACACTCTCCCCAGCATCTGCCACCCGGCGAAGGACAGAGGGGTGAGGGAGGGAGCTTGGCCTGCGAGGCATGGTGTGGACAGAGGCTTGTGTCGCCCACGGTCACCTGTTCACATCCTAACCAGCAACGCCACGGCGTAGGAGGCGGGGCCTTTGGGAGGCCAGGAGGTCACCGGGGGGAGCCCCGAGAGTGGGTTGGCGCCCTGAGAAGAAGAGACGCGGGGGCGTCCCCCACCCCTCCCCACTGCGTGAGGACACGAGCCCAAGGCCGCCTCCCCCGCGCCCGCTCCGCCGGCGCCTGTCACAGCGTCTCGGCCTCCAGACTACGAGGAGCGCGCGGGTCCTGCCGAGGCCTCCCAGGCTCCGGCTCGTTTGATGTCACCACCAGAACAGGTGGGGTCCCCAGCTCCGACACCTCTGGCCACGCAGGGTTCTGGGGCGGAGAACGGTGACCCTGGCTCGCGTGGCCCGTGGGCTGTCACAGCGCTCGCGTAGGGGCTGTCCGCCTCTGGGAAATCGGTCTGTATTTGGGGTGTCCGTCGTTTCTCTCGTCTCTTCCGTTATGTAGGAGTTTGCTGTGGTTTTTGCCAGGCAGCCATTTTAAACGTTTAGATGGAAGATGAAAATATTAGTTTCCTCAGGTGTTACTTGAACTAAGGTGACTTCAACTTCAGTTACAAATCAGAAAGCGCAAAACTCAATCGAGACGGCGTGTCGCTTGGCGTGACCGTGGCCCTCGGCCTTCTCAACGGGCTGGGTGGGCGCCAAGTGCCGCATCCCAGAGGGAGGCTGGGTCATCGCTCCGCGTCTGGGTCATCGCTCCGCGTCTGGAAGCCGGGCGGGTGGGAAGACGATTCCGCTTTCCTATCATCTTTCTCTTTTGCAGTTTCGGTGCCAACGTTCCGTCTGTTTCCGTAACTTATTCTTCTACAGCGCGTGTCACCATCGGACACACCGCGTGTGATTTGTCTATTGTGTTTGTGGTCGTTTCGCCCACTTCCACCTCCTGGAGGGGAGATTATTCGTTGTGCTTTGTTCTGTGTCGCGGTGCGGTACCTTCAGTGCCTAAGCAGCAGCTGGCACGCAGTGGGGACTCAGAGTCGGCATGCCGTAGGTACTGCTGAATCCCTACTGTTTGTCCTCGACCTTGGGGCGCACCTGAAAGCAAGAGGCTTCAGTGATGACGTTTCCCAGAACTGGCCGGTTCACCAGACTGGGTCTCCAGCTTCTCTGTGAAAACGAGAAGGGTGAGACACAGCCCCCACTGCAGAGTCTGAACAGGCGATGAATAAACACGTCGTTTGCATGCGTGTCAGATGATTTATTTTCAAAACTGTAATTAAATGAGATAAAAATATATGGTTGAAGTTGCCGAAGCGACTTAAATTCAACGTAAATAACAGCTGCTCTTCATCTGGGAATTTCATCTATAGACAGAACTTTTTTTTATATGCCCTTAAAAAATTGTAACGAGCATGCTGCTAATTTGATGTCCAGTGTCCCAGAATCAGGATTAAGGGGAAGGGGCACTCCACCTGCATCTCCCGGGTCTCACTGAAGAGCAGGAAGTGAGAAACTGCGCAGTGCCTTCGAGGACACACCCGTGGCTCTCAAATACTTGGCAAGTTCTCTGCGGGAGTGGGGCTTAGGCCAGCACCCCGGCAAGCTGAGCAAAAGACGAGGACCGAGAAGGCCAGGGAGGAAGCGACTGCCATGTTTCTTTCTGTCAAAACCGTAAAGATCCTCAGTCTGTCAAGGTATAGAATTCTCCCAGCGGGTGAAGAAGAGACCGTCGTATTGGTGTGTCGCTGGCCGCCTGCACGTAGCAGGGCCGTGCAGTTTGCAACATGTCGTGTCATGTTTTAATTCCCCGGGGCAGGGTTCCAGGCCGGGAGGCTGTTTCTTTCGCCAGACAGTGAATCGGTTTCAGGCGCTGATGATGTTCCCGTCCACTTGTATCTCTAAGCGTTCACTCTGCGGCAGGGTAGCTGCTACAGTGCCCTTGGAAAGAGACCTTTTCCCGAAGTCACCTTCCGGAGCACCCCAGGCACGGAGCACACCAAGGGCCTTCGCAGGCCAGATGCTGGGACAATGCACGCCACGTGGACAGATCCGAGGAAGTGCCCACCACTGCCCCAGGGTGCGAAACGGGAGGGGCAGCAGGGCTCGACAATGCTCATCAAGCGTCCGACATGTATCAGACACTGTCTGGGGCGCCATGCCACAGCCCGGAAACTGGAAAGATTACAGCCCATTTTCAACCTCTGTTGTTTTGTTTGTTGTTGTTGTTGTTTTGTGGGGGGGTGGGAGAGAAAGGACAATAAGCCAAATAGCATAAAAATAAACAAAGTAATTGCAGAGGCTGATAATGATTGCTGTAAAGGACAGAATAAAAAGGCGATGTGACAGAGAGTGAGTAGGGCCGGTGGCGGCCTGCGTTAGACGGACAATCAGGGAAGGCTACTTGGAGGAGGTGGCATTTGAGGTGCGTCATGAAGAATGAGTATGATGAGCAAAAGATGGGTAAAGAGCATTCCGCACAAAGGAAACTGAGTGTGATGGTCCTGACACAGGGTTGGCCTCGGGGTATGTGACTGACGGAAACATGGTTTTCGCAGTGTAAGTGAGTGACAGGGAGAGCAGCAGGCACGAGGCTGGGATGGGGCAGGGACCGGGTCCCAGCGCAGTGGAGCGTCTGTGTCTTATTCTAAACTTTACGAGGCCAAACGCCTTTCAGAAAACTGTTTCGCTTTGTGTTATAAAGTAGCCAAAGCTAGAGAATGCGGCTGCCTAACCCCTAACACACCTAAGCCGGGCTGAGATGCAGAAAGAGACGCGTCCTCATAGAGAAAACGTGGGTTAAACGGCCTTAGTTTCAGGGCCTCCGCCTCCACCGAACGCCAGCGTTGTTAGTGATCCCCGTCACACCAGTCGCAGTAACCGCGTGAGAGAGACAGGTGCACACTCTTACGGAACACGCGGAAACGCGAGAGTTTTAAACCGAGGTCTCCTTTGGCTTCTTAAAGAGCGTGGAGACCCCGATGAAACGAGGAAAAACACTAACATGAGAAATAAAAGCCGTTTGGGAAGCCATACAGCTACAGAGGAAACTCAGCAGAGCGGCTTTTTTTTTTTTTTTTCCTCATATAGTCAAGAAAATAGTAGCAGGATGAAAACTGTGAGTCTCCAATAGTCAGACACTCAACACGCATGGTTTTCTTCCCGCCGTTTAATTCCATGGAGAATAGAAGCAAAGTACGTGGACTCCGGGTCAGGAAGACCCGGATCCCAAGGCCTGTGATGTTGGATGTCGATTTTTTTTCTTTCTATGTGATGGAATCAGGAACAATTCTTACCTCATAGAGTTGTCGTGAGGGTTAAGTTCATGAATACTCGGAAAGTGAGGAATGGTGTTCTTTGCGCAAGCTAGCTGAGGCTGGCCTTACCTTTCTCCCAAGGTGATTAGACTTCCAAGGCGGCCCACAGCAGCGTCCTCGCCAGGGAACAGAGCTGGTGCTGCTTTACGTTCCTGCCTGGGCTTCGTCACTGGACAGAGGAAGCGGCAGTGTGGAGGAGAACCCCGCCCCCACCCCCGCTTTGCTGAACGCAGGATTGCCGGCCGCAGGCGGATCTCTCTCTGGCAGTCCACGCGCACCTGTCCTCATCCTATTGTTTCCTTTTCCCTTTTCAGCGCTTCTTAAAAAAAAAAAAAAAAAGAATCGTGAGAAACATCTGTGATGAAACATCAAATTTCGGAGGTTTTTTTTTTTTAAGTCAGCAATCCCTTCTTGAGCTTGCTCAGCCCTACTTGACTTTCCCATTGTTTCACGGATTACATTTTTGCTTGTTTGTTTCTTTTTCGGTTATTCGAAAATCACATTCGAAGGCTTATTTACTTGTTCAGAGGAGGAAATCTGATTAAATTAATATGCTTTTCACTGTAAATGACTAATAGCAAGTTAGCGTATTCGCAGCCGTTCGGGGTTTTAAAATGGTGTTTCTGTAATTCCAGAGTAATCTCAACACTGTAGTATTTATCTGGTGTGATTAAAGAGGGTGAGGAAAAAAATCCAGCCATTCGAAGGGAGGACACGGGGAGGTTGGGATCAGCACCTGGGACAGCTCCCAGGTTCTTCCTCTCCGCTTCGGCATAAGGATTTTCTGAGGATTTTCAGTGACGCCCGTAGCAGAGGCATCAGGGGCTATGAAAGAACAAGGTCAAAAGTCATTTCTAGGACTGAGCCATGTGTGAGTTAAGTGTGCATTAACTTAGGGACATCACTAAGGCTCTTTGTTTTGCGAGGATCTCCAAGAAAGAATGTGTTTCAATGTCAGACCACCGGCCAGGATCAGATTCTGGTCCCTTACTTTAGACTGCCAACAAATTGGGGTATTTAATGTCAGATCTTTAGCATGCTCATAGGTTTTTGCTTTGTTTTGTTTGATTTAGTTGTGCGAGAGAATGGCCGACACCAATACTTGGAACAAAAGAGAAACTCAAAGAATATTTGCTGAAAAAAGGGATAAACAAATAGAAAAATTAGTGACATAAGGAATAACAAGATACTGACAAGAATATCTAACTTGATTTTATGTTTATATACATGCGATTCTTTTCATTTTTCATTTATATTCTTTTTCTATCTGGTATACAGTAGAAAGTTCTAAAACTTGAAGCTCGAGTAAATTTCTATAATCAGTAAATAATGTAACATTTCATCTTTTATTCCTGTTTTAAAATAATGTATTCGTATACTTTTTAAAAGACAAACATCTGGTTTTACTATTTTATGAAAATGATATTTCCCAGCTTTACATTAAAAAGT